GAGGGAAAGAGACGAACGAAGAGAGAAAAAAAGAGAAGTTCGTACATGGCACTGCCATCACTATGCACGACTTGCAAAGTCACAGAATGAGGAAGAGAGAATAGGTAGACAAAAGAAAGATGGAGAAGAAAGAAAGAGGCATACACGGCATTGCCACTGCCGTGCATAGCCTCTGAGAAAGACTCAATAGAGAAGAAGAAGACAGACGAAGAAGAAGAAAGAAGAAGAGAGAGAAGAAGGGGGAGAGAGAGGAAATACCTTGAAGATATGAAAGGTACCACACTAAACTTTCTCTCTCCTCTCTCTCTAAGACGTGCTCAAGAGAACTCAAGAAGAAAGCCTTAATTTTTTTATTGATCACGAGTTGAATCCTTGTACAATGATTTTGTGAGTCCAAAACCAATCCCTTCTCAATGAGAGGTAGCGTCTATTTATAGACTAAGACTAAAATGTGGGTGGATTATCCAAAACTAACCCTAATTGATGACAATTAAGGTTTATTTGAATTAAAAAATAAGAAAATAAGGTACAAAATGGCTGATTTGCCCCTGCTTAAGAATTGACAAAATTTCAAAATAGTCCTTGCTAAGAACTAGGGATGTTCTTGATTCTCCTTGGATAATCCATTGACAATCCAGCATCCAAATGAACAAAATATGATTGTCATTGTGTGGGGCCCGATGCTACGATCATTTTGATATCAATTTTAAGCCATGAATCTCACTTTAAAGGCATGATCACATAACTTAAAATTTGAATAGATTTTGAAAACTTTTGATTGATAGTGCGCCTTCATCTTAACGTTTTTCTTCGATTCTTAGCTGAATTGCACTGAGCATGTCGCCATGATTGTGTTGCAACAAACGTGGCGCGATTTGGTACCTGAACGAAGATTTAACAATCTTGGACTTTGGCCAAAATTTGGGATTCCAATTGTTGGAATTTGCAGTGAGTTCAACTTGATATTATGCAAAATTCCACCGTTCATCACCAGCGGGGTTCGGACCAGTGATACTACGAACCTTACGTCCGCGATGCAAATGGTTTCACATCGATTGGGCTCGCGGACGCTGTGATATGGATGCTCAAGTGACTGGAGGTACTGCTAGAAATATTTAATGTGCAGTTTCGAATCATAAACTTCTCTCTAGCTTTTCTCCTGTTTCGGTCATTGTCACGGGACGTACTACATATCAAAACGCTCATTTCGACGAGACGAACATGCTCCAACAAGTTTGAGCATGATCCGAACTTGGATGAAGGAGATATGGATGTCGCAAGTTCACTGTTCGTAACTATGTTTTAATGGAGTTTAATTGCAGGGTGGCCGCACGAGAATAGTGTGCGGCTCCTTCTATTTTAATGTTTTGCCCATTACTTCTTCCTAGAGTGTCTGTTTAAGTTGAAATTTGACTTCTAAGGGTTTTCAACCATGTCAGATCTAATGACAGTGGTCCTACAGTCATTTGATGCTCCAAAAATATGGTTTCAGTTATAAGGGTCTATTTTAAGGTGCTAGAGGTTGATTATGTCGAAATTGTTTCTTCGTCTCCACTGCCTTAGACATGTCGAAATACGATAAAACTTGGCAGAAGGCTTTTAGAAGTCGTTTTGAAGATATTTGACTAGTTTTTTATCCTTTCTGATACTGTAAAATTTTTCCACTATTTGTCAAGCTTTATTGATCAGCTTCTCTTTTATTCCGCCTAAGGGACCCATGGCGCTGAAAAATGTCTTCAAATAACCACACCATAACTTTATTTGTCCTGGAATTTCCTATCTATCCAACATTTCTAACACTTGATACGTGGGAAGCAGCGCAAGAGCAAGTTTTTGTTTTTCTCTTACTCAAGGCCTGTGCGATATTAGGAGCACTTAACAACTCCTATTCGGTATTTCTAATGTTGAACAACTCAACTTCTTATCCTGTCAAACATTAGAAACACTGGACATATTAGAATTAATTATTATTAGTTAAATTCTTACAATTAATTATTATAATAGAATTTAATTAGTCTAACATAATTTAAAATAATAAAATATTTTCTATTATAAAATATTTAATATATATAAATATTGTGAAATATTTAATAAAATTTTGATATTTAATTAAAATTTTAATTATATTTTTTGAATTATACTCTACTAATTTTTATTTTACTACTTTAAAAATTAGAATAATATATATATATATATATAAAAGTAATGATCTTATGAGATCCTCTCACATGAATAAGACCCCAAATGATTACCATCAAATAAAAGTAATGATCTTATGAGATCCTCTCACATGAATAAGACCCCAAATGATTACCATCAAATTTGACATATATATAGGTAATGATCTTATAAGATCCTCCTACACCCATGTGAGTAGGACCTCAAAGGATCATCATCAAATTTAACACATATCTAACACATCTCTAAAAGAAAAAATGTCAATGCCCTATGCAGCCTCGTGTATTGAGAACCATATGCCGACGGCTGAGATTTGCCCGACTTTGGTGGATAAAAAGGGACGGCATAAATTCAAACCGATACGTTTTCTATTAAATAAGAAGTCTCCTGACATTTGACAGAGAGATTTATGGAAATGGCAGAGCCTTCCATAAATTCATCTCTCTCTCTCTACACGAAACTCATCTCGTCAGGCGTCTCTCTCCTCAGTTCTTTTATCTCTCATGCAGCAGCCCTAGCTCTCCCCTCACAGTTCTCTCTCTCGCGCAGAAGCCCTTTATCTCTTCTCACAGATCTTTCTGTTGCTCATACAGAAGCCCTCCCTCTCTCCTCTCACTCTCTCTATCACTCTCCTTCACGCAGAAGCAGCAGTAGCAGCGCCCTCTCCATCATCGTAGAAGCAGTAGCAGCAGAGCCCTATCTCACTAACACAGAGAGCTTTCATTATATTCTGAACTAGGTATGGGAAGCTCCTTTTTTATTTTTTTTATATTCTCTATTTCATAACCATTCGTTGATGTATGCGTAGCTGCTGTATTTCTTTTCTTAAGTTTTTTTTTTTTAAAGAATTTGTGAATTACGAAATTACAAAAAAAAAGAAAATGTGAAGCCTGAATTTGCAGTACTTCATGTTGATTCTCCCCATGTTGATGTACCATGTTTCTATGGTATTCATACTTCGATGCGAATTTGCTTTTTTTCTTGATTTTGTGGGCTGTATATGTATAAAAAGGTTGGGTTATACACTGTGGTTGTTAACAATTATTGGTTGTGACCCATAACCTAATTGTCTATTGGAGGTTTGAATACTATTTGAAGCCATGCTATGATTTCCGCTTGTTTGCTTGTTGTCTTATGTCATGAACAAGGGTTCATTGATTCAAATTGACTAGGTTTTTGCCCCTTCCTGCTGAACTAAAAGGCAAACCTTTATGTCTGCCATTTACTTCAAGTGGGTAAAGATTAATTGTAGTCGACTCCAATAGACCCATTCCTGCGAACTAACCTCCCCCTGTTTTATTTTTTTGTTCTAAAATATGGAATGCAATTAAGTTTGCAAATGGAGTTTTGAGATTGGAAATGGCACGTATAAGGCCTAAAAGGTGGCACCATATATGTGTTATGCATTGTGTTGTGCTTGTTGTTATCGGGATGTTCACAATTTAGGGAGAAATTTGGGGAGATCTAGAAAGTCATTTTCATCAGTGGCATTTTACTGGTGCACTAGGAGTGATTTTATTGTACTTGGCTACATATTTAATTGATATAAAGGTTTGGATACATATATTTATATAGCTTGTATTTTTATATGGTGTGTCATCTCTCACTTGTCTAAATGTAGCCAATATGGGTGACACCATCGAGCTTATGAAGCATGTTCCTTATCTTGCAACCCCTCCTAGGAAAATCACATAAATGCAAGATAGAGAACATGGCTCATCAAGCAAAGGCCATGAAATTGAAGAAGTAGAAATGATGTTTGCTTCAAAGGATGATGCAATTTCCTACTATAATGGTTATGCATTGTCTAAAAGTTTTGGTATCCGTAAAAGCATTACCTATAATAAAAGCATTACCTATAATAAGAAAGGTCAAAGGATTGATAGAGAACTTAATTGCTTTAAGGAACGGTTTAGCCGAACTTAATTGCTTTAAGGAATGGTTTTGCCAAGAAACAGATGGGGTCAGTGGAAAGGTTCAACCTCAGTCAAGATGTGGGTGTGTAGCCAAGTTGGGCCTCAATAGAAAAACAAACAACAAGTGAGTTGTGACTAGGTTTATTAATGATCACAATCATGATCTAGTTTCTTCAAGAAAAGCTCATCTAATTCGCTCCCACCGAACATTGTCGAACGCCCTCGCATACAAATACTTTTTTGTAATGAGCCTCGTATACAAATACTAGTGTTGCATGGGATTCTCTTAGTTATGCCCTTTTATGCTTATGAGCCTCCAACAAGTGGCTCTCTGTCTCTCAATGCTGGTTGTGCGCAAGTGGTTTGTTTTACTTGTTTTTTAAAACTTGGCCAAGAAAAACCAGTGGGAAACCCCAATTAGTAGAGCCTTTCTTTCAAGAGCCTTAAAAATATTTTTGAATTTTTTGGTTTGAACGTTAGTTATGAAATGAAAATTTAGAGATTACTAAGAGTAGTCAAAATGTTCTAAACACTTGTTCAATTCATGTACTCTGCAAGATTGAGGGGATAATGGCACTGAGATGGTGCTTTCAGGAGTATTCTTGAATATATGGACACATCATTTATTGTCCCATTCTTTGGCCTTATTAGTTTTGGCTTGCTTTTGGAAATGCTTTGGGAATGGACTATGTGGACGTGTGATCTCATTGCCTCATAATGTGTTTTATTTGGAAAGGGCTGGTATCTTGTTTTCCTATTGTATGGTATGTATTATTGAGCTATTGAAGTTGAAATACAATAACTCAAGTCAATTAATAAGCCACCCACTTCTTTAAATGTAAACGTAATAGAAGTTCCAATTCAAGCCATTACAGGACTGTTCCTACCTCATATCAACAACAATAATTGTTTCAAGAGTTGCAAGACCAACTCTTAGTCATATCAAACACTTTTCAATAAAAGTAAAACAAAAACAAACGCATTCGTTACACACAAGAAAAATAGAAATTGTTGCAGATGCCATAAGGCATCAACAGTTTGTTGTTGAATGATCGGTTCAGGCTTGAACATAAGATGCTCTTGTGATACTTGTGACTGATTTCTTTGTTGTACATTACAATGCTTGAAGTTGACATTGTAGTTCATCCCTTTCATATAATCATAGCACCATTGAAAAAAAGTGCAGTTCATATACCGATAGTACATTCTTCCAGGGTTGGATGGGGAGCTTGATGTACATAAGGTACATGGTATGTCACACCGAGGACAAGTGAGCCGTGGATATCCTCCGGCTTTTGTAGAAGTTGATGACTTCATAGCTGGTTCAAATGTCTAGACCGGTATCCCAATTTCATAGAGGAAACAAAGTATATTCATTGCACATTAACGTATATCCATTTCATAAACCATATAACAACACAAAGTAGCGGTTTACTCATAATACTCACTCACAATTAAGGAGAAATTCAAAAAGATTTAAAGTTTAACACAATTAAAAGGAATTTAGATTTACAAGCAGCTAAGATACATGATGATGCATCATAGAAACGAAAATTACCACCCAAGGAACCCACAATTCAAAGTTCAGATAGGGACTCCATTGGTAAAATTAGTGCTTTGGCCGTTAAGAGAGTTTTCATCATCCTTACCTGTCTGTACATTGTGTTGTCTCCCTGAATAAACAAGGCCTTGAAACGACGGGACAGATATCTCAATACTACATAAAGTTGATTATGGTTCTATGCAAATTTGTGCCATCTACGGAAGTGAAACCAACTCAGTGGATGCTAAGTCAGTTCATCCTCCACTCTTCATCCTTATAGCTTGGTGTTTGGTTTCAAGTTTCACAGAATTCCGATAATATCTCGAGAGTCATTATATGAATCAATAACTTTGAAATGATAACATATAGAGCTCTCCTAATCTTTCTTATTAATAGGCTTTTGAAGGTCCCTACCAGATAAATCAACCAGTGCACTTAGAAAGGATCAAATATTCGCTTAATGCATACCAATGTTAAGTTTAATGAGTATTTCAAAATAATATAAGAATGAGGAGTTGTAAGAGAAATGGGAGCGAAGTACATAAAAATGCATTTTCCTTTCATGCGTTGATCAATAGGATGGGATCATTTGCAATGGATAAAAAAAAAAAAGTCTGCAGCTAGCACACATTACCGTAATGGTGATGAAATAAAGGATCTCAATAAAACCCAAAATGCAAAACTCATACGGAACCCTAAGAAACGCACCAATGAAATCATTATCACAGTAAAAGCTCAAAAATCAAAAGAGAGCACAACAAATAGATCATCAAAATAAACCCTAAAAAAAATAGAGCTTCCTATACCTAGTTGAGAATATAATAGAAGCCCTATATTTGAGCGAGAGAGCGCTCTGCTGCTGCTGCTTCTGCGACGATGGAGAGGGCTCTGCTACTGCTGCTTCTGCTTCTGCATGAGGGAGAGTGATGGAGAGAGCGTGAGGCAGGGAGGGCTCCTGCGTGAGAGATAGAGAGGGGTGAGCGAGGGCTGTTGCGTGAGAGATAAAGATATCTCTCTCTCGTGGGTCTTTCTCTCTCTCTTGGGTTTGGTTTTCTTCCTAAAACCTGACAGCCGCTTGCTCTCTCTCTCTGCCTCTCACTACTCGCTAAGAAATAGCCGCTCGCTCTCTCTCTCTCTCTCTGCCTCTCCCTGCACGTAGAGAAACAACCGCTCGCTCTCGCTCTCTACCTCTCGCAGCTTGCTGATAAACAACCACTCGCTCTCTCTCTCTCTCTCTGCCTCTGACTGATCGCTAACGAAAACCCCCCCCCCCCCCCGTCTTCTCTCTCCAAAGGCTGCTCATCTTCCTTGTGCCTCTCTGCAGCCCACCCCATCTCTAAAGTACTATCTCTCTCTATTTGACTCAAATATGTAGTATCTTACAAAGCACCCATTGCTCCAATGGAGCTCTAACAAACCACAGATTTTCTGTAGCCCCACCTCTTCCTTGTCTTTTCGAACATGAGCACACCTCTGAAACTGAGGATCTGAAACTGAGGATTGTGACCAATCATCTCACTATGACATTGTAAATACGAAATATAAAAAAATGATTATATGAGAAAAAACAAGCTTGGGAGTCACATTCCCTATAAATTGTTAGCTTGACGTTGTAGAAGTTTTCTTAGAAAATATTTTTGTAAGATAAATATTTTCACTTATATATTTATTGTGTATCTAACTATAAATATTTCTTACTTGGGGAAATCTCTTCTCTTAAATTTTCTTATTGTTATTGTTATATCTAACAGAGCACATTGGAAGTTTTCTTATTGTTATGTTTATTGTGTATATAACTATAAATATTGTGTGTATTTCATTTGTTAAAAATACACCATATCATTCCCTTTTTATATGTTCTTTTAAATTCCCATGGCTTCCAACCAGTTTTCAAATACCCATATCAATGATTCTATTTTCTCGTCAAATATGAGTGCAAATCCAAATTAAGTTGTACTAAAATGGTGATTTGCACCAAGTATAGGTGCAAAAGGCATATCAAACGTATTTGTCTTATATGTAGTATCAAAGGTAACCATGTCTGAAAAGCACTGATAGGAAACTCTAGATGTAGAATCTACCCATAAGATATTGTAAATGTTATCATCATCATTTAACATCAATCTATAGAAAAATGATGGGTTCGATTGGTTCTTTTTATAGAGCCATTGCAAAATTAAATTGCCATCTTCTCCTCTAAGTTTCTTTTAGCGCTTGCTAGTACATTTTAGATGTCCTTTTGTGTACAAGGGATACTGTTGATCCCTCCAGCCTGCTCTTTGAATATGTTTAGGCGTAACCATTGTTGAGCTCATTGAATGTATCAATGACTTTGTAGCACTCAACAATGATCGGTGTGTGCGAATTAGATAAGCTTTTCTTGAACTAACTAGATCGTGATTATGATTTTTAACGACGTTAGTCACTTTCCACTCTCCGTCTTCTTGACTACTTATGCACATCTTAACCTTGTACCTACACCTTAACTCAGGGTAAACCTTTCCACTTGTATTAGGTTTTTCTTGTTTAAACCCTTCTTTCGAGCAAATATAAACCTTATCAATCCGTTTAGCTTTCTTGTTATGAGTACTCCCCAGACGAATACCTAAATCTTTGGTCAATGCATAAGACTTAAAGAATTCATATGCATCATCCTTTGATCCAAACATCATTCCTACATATGGTTCTTCTATTTATTAACCTATATTTGGTGAGCCACAACCACCATCAGGGATTTCATCAATGCTGTCTACATTTGGGCATGTGTTAGATGTCACACCGACTGAATTCGTGGGATCCATATCAGTTTTTTGACTTATCCAACGTTAAAATGCAAGCTAAAAAAATACATGTATTCAAACTTTCATCTTAAGAATACCAATCATATTTTTCTCAACCCACTTTGCCACAAAAATTGTAACAAATGGAAACTGCATACTTGTAATATAAACTCAATGCAGCAGGGGCGAAAAAACTCAATGGCAAAAAAACATGCTGCAAAAAAGCAAAAAGGGCAAGAAAATGGGGAGAAAGACAATTGAAAAAATAAATAAATTCCTATACATGGTTCTTCTATTTTTTGGCCCATGTTTGGTGAGCCACAACCACCATCCGGGATTTCATCAATGCTGCCTACATTTGGGCATGTGCTAGATGTCACACCGATTGAATCCGTGGGATCCATCTCAGGTTTTTGACTTACGCAACGTCAAATTACAAACTAAAAAAATGCACGTATTCAAACCTTCATCTTAAGAATACCAATCATAATTTTCTCAACCCACCTTGCCACATGCAAAAATTGTAACAAATGAAAACTACATGCTTGTAATATAAATTCAATGCAGTAGGGGCAAAAAATCCCAATGGCAAAAAAAAAAAATGCAGCAAAAAAGCAGAAAGGGAAAGAAAATGGGGGAGAAAAACACAATTGAAAAAATAAATAAATTTTTGCAACATATGTATTTTAATTTCCAGGAGTAAGTGATTCATTATAGGGTGCATTAGATGCCACATGAAGATATTGGACTTAGACACAACATATGATATATCAAAATGTATAAAAATAAACATAACAGAGCTCAGGAATTTTGTAGTATGTCTTGCTTACGACATAATTCTTAGTAGATACATAAACCAACTTCCTTATGCTTAACATCAAATTTATTCAACATCATGAATATCTCTTTCTTTTTGGGTCAACAACCATGTCTGGTTGCAACATATCAAAAACTTTTAAAGCGTCTTTTGTACACTACTAAATTTTGCATACACATCAATCAAAATATTAGCCACAAAGGCTATGAAATTGCAAGCAAACTTAACCACATGGACAATAACCCACTTCCTTTGCCCTAGTACCCTTATACTTGCACACCCATTAAAAAACAATCAAGTAAATAAAATGGGTAGGTCCAAACCAGCTATTTGCATCTCCAAAAATTATCTAAGGCAATCTAGTCATCTCTAAAAAAAAAACCAAACTGCAACGTCTGACTGATTGATTTCAGAAAAACCAGTAATCAACATGGTCCCTTAAAGGCGTCTTATTTCATGCTTTTTGGCATCAGATAAAGATCCCATTTTGCATAGAATTTAGTTTATCGATAAAAGATCAGATTTTAACTTTGAAATTCAGAAAGTATGAGTGGAACAATCTACCTTCCTTCCATTAACACAATTGAGTGCGTCTCTTGAGAAATTTGGAGTTGGTGTCAGCATCAATGGGCATTCGGATTCAATTATAGATAGCTAAAGGTCACAACCTCTGAAACGAGTTGGTCTTTGAACATGTTATGTCTCTAGGTCTATGAACTCCCCTTGAGCAAAATGTCAATCTGGTTTACTTGGATGGCATGGGCAAGTTTGATGCGTTATTGGAAGCTCGAGCAGGTGTAGGAATGAGCTATAATTGGCAGCAAGCAGTTCCCTAGTTGCAGAGCATCTCTTACAATAAGCATACAGAAGATATGGGAATTTAAAAGAACATAAAAAAAGGGGAATGATACTGTCTATTTTTTATCTTGCCTTTTAATCTCAAGATTGGTTTTCGATCAGATGATAACTGGCTAAAATCACAAGACTGTAATGTAACAGAGGATCATTCCCCAAGTAAGAAATACACACAATATTTATAGTTAGATACAACAATAAATATATTAGTGAAAATATTTATCTTACAAATATATTTTCTAGGAAAACTTCCACAACAGATATTTATTTGCTCAAGTCCTATCATATAAAAGTATTGCATAATAATATACCAAAGTCATTTATTTGATCAATATATTGTAATTCTAAATAGAAGTTATTACTAAATTTGAGCAGAGAAAACAAATTGCTAATGTGAAACAATTTGCCAATATGAAACTGAATTACCATGAAAGCAATTTACAGGGAACATGTAATCATTTTCTTATGTTTGGTAAGTTACAATGTCATAATGAGATGATTGCTCACAATCCTCTGTTTTAGAGGTGCCCATGTTCAAAGAGACACTGCAGAAAATTAGGGCTCTGTGATTGGTTAGAGCTCCATTGGAGCAATGAGGGTTTTGCAAGATACTACATATCCGAGTCAAATATAGAGAGAGAGAGTACCTTTAGAGATGGGGTGGCCTACAAAGAGGGAAGACAAGGGTTTTTTCTCAGCGAGCCATTGGAGAAGGAAGACGATGGGTTTTTCTCAGCGAGCCTTTGGACAGGGAAGAGG